TATTGATATTATAAACTTAATTAAACTGTTCCGTGGACAACCGGCGTTGTGATCATACGTAAAACGTTTTTGAAGTTACCGTCGCCTTATTTAGCGTTTTATTATGGATTGTCAGGGTATTCATAATCATTAAGGTCCCGTAATAAATCTGCTACACTGTACTTATTTCTCGAAGCAAGAAGCGGTCAAACCTAAAACTTGCTAAAATCTTCGCTCCTGTCTGTCTCTCTCTCTGACTTCCAAGATCACCACGATAGCTGCCACGAACAATGTCTCTTCAGCGCACATTTCGATACGGAATGCGAATGAGGTTGTGCTACATATAACATATAGCACGAGCACCAGAATCACTAAAATTGTTTGTAAATTTTTCATACAGCAAAAGTTATAAAGCAATTTATATAGCAAAAGTTATATTGCAGGTTTTGCTACATAGTGTAAATTCGGCTTTAAACTAAAGCTATAGACACACCATAGATTTGCTATTAAGCATCAGCACTCATTTTGACGTATATTTTGAGCTATGCACAAACTGCCTCCCTGTACATTACTTACGGGAGTTAAATTTGTGTTTTTCGAGTTCGTTTGGCTCTTCTACCAGACCGATTTTCATAATTTTGGTCTCAAAGCTATGCAAGCACATATTTGTCATAATTAATCTATCAAATGTATAACCCTACGAAAACAATTAAATTGGATTTTTTTCAATTTTTACTTAAATTAAAAATGTATTCCAGCAGTTACATTATCCTATATGTTTTTATCTAAAAATCTTCAGTGAAGTACCAGATTCCATTAGAATTATTGATTATTGAGATTGGACGTACCTAAAGCACACTGCTAAATTATAAACGACCCAAATTGTTTAAAAATGGAGTTATCTATCATCGATTTATAGTTAAAAGATCTTACTTGCAAACTCAACAGTACCTAAGATAATTGTCGACGTTGACGGGTTTCACCTAGCAAATCTTAAAAAATCAAACTTTAATAATTATTTGAAAATCTACACGAATTCCTTTCCAATGACCCATTAGGTTATAAAATCGGTCCAATAGAACTCTAGATTTAGTTGTACAAAGATTTTTAAAACTGAATTACTAGATTTAATTGAAAATCAATTAAGACAAATGGAAATTCGTTTAGTCTGCAGGTTTGCTGTGGCGGGGGTGTTTTGTACTACGATCGTATTTCTAAATAGTGCTTATAACCACTATTATAACATCTTTCAGCATTAAATTTCCTATAATTTGATACCCAAAAAGTTATTTTTACGAATATTAAAATTTTGACACTTTTTTCAAGATGGCGGTCAAAAAACGTATTTTGCGCCACAGTACGGATGTATATTTTTAGTATGTTGATTAGAGGCATACTACCTACCATTCACAGCAAGAATCATTTGTGTTGCAATTAGTTCCACCTTAAGCTATATTTTCGATTATTTCTACTGCACTATTACATGCAATGGTTCAGTAAATAAACTGCAGTTCCTGGAATTTTTGGGAATCCTGTATACAACTTAATTATTAGGGATGAACTGAAGTTTTATAATTGACCTTGGCAAATTTAAACTTCTGACTTGAAGACTTAGGTAAAACTTCAATTATTACTTCAAGAACAGCCATTACTTTTTTGAAGAAAGGCTATAATCAAGACAATCATTAGGTAGTTTTCAATTAGAATGTTATATTTTGTAGAAAAATTGAAAAAGTAAAAAAAAAATGTAGACTTTAATAGGAAACAGAACTCTACATGTTTCACAGTGGGGGAGTGAGCTGGTCTTGTGCTAAGTTTGGGACTTCAATTTCAAAGGTCAGTCACTATTCACCAATGGATTTTATCAAGGGTGGTCCTAGGGGGAGGCATGACCCCCCCAAATATTGTATAACCCCACTCCTTTGCTGGGGGGGGGGGGGTTATTCCATATCTCCCAGGCCTGGTGACCCCCCCAGAATATAGGTCTAGACTGCCCTTGGATTTTATATATGTGTTAATGCCTCAGCCCTCTATGTCTAGCCTGAAGTAATGCTACAGTTCCAGAAGAAACATCTTTTACTGTAGATGAGAATGAGAAATCAAAGCGGATATTCAATAATATTTCTTTATTATTAAGAATTGACCTGAATCTGGACACAAAATAATACAAGTTCCAAGTAACTTAATTCTAATCCTGGGTATTCCTATTGCATTACATTGCAATCTACAAAAAAATGCACAGTAATCATTTAACAAATCACAGGCCTCGAGCATTTAGGAAACATAGCATTACATATGTATGATCACACACAACATAAACTGAACAGAACTAACCTTAAAATCGTCTTCAAACAACAACACAATCCAAGATGGTGATATATTATATGAAAAAAGGAGTATACTAATCAATAGTAGGGCCCGTAGAGAGATGTCTACTTTACCTACATTCATACTTTATCAGAACCATTTTTACCCAAACGAACTTCCCTAGATGGAATGTTAGGTGTTGATGATCACGAAGCTTTTCACACCCAATTAGTAAACGGTAAACACAACTGATACCTCAATAGTAATTATGCTGGAGGATGTGTTATTACAGGAGATACCATCGTCCCTCTGATCCCGACTGACCACTCTACCCTTGCAGGTGCTCAGCCCCCAATTAGGGTAGTGCGCTTTAAACAGCCTAGATAAGATAAACAATCCAACAACAACCCTTCTCTTCAGCGGCAGGATCAAACGGAATCAACACCAAAGAAATAAAAATTAGGCACACAATAGGAAATACAATTATTAGTTTTAAATTATATAAATTTCTTAAACGGGGAAAACGACTCTTATAGATTGTGTTATTGTTGATTTTTGATGCTGTAAAGCAAACATTTTGATTATGAGCACATATTTTATTTTTGACCTCTAATTTGAAATTAAAACTTTGTTTTGGATTCAGTTTCACACGAGAGCTAAAATCTTTAAAAATGCAATGAGTTCAATGAAGTAGATGTTCATTTGTACAGTGATTTAGGATTTATTTATTATGCTATGTAACAAAAATAGCAAGTTGTGACTAGTATATTCTTAACGGTAGTTATATTGTTGTACTACAATAGTACTAATAGTAGGGCTAAATTAAAAGTAAACTAAGATAAGTATGAGGTCATTGTTCTTCTAACTATTGTGGTCATAGCAACAACAACGATTGTTAAACTGTCGGGCATTACATCAATGAAAGAGTTTTACAATCTTCTAAGAGATGCACCATGCGTCCTCGTTTTGAAAAATCATACTCTGTAGTATATGGCATTTGATTTGTAGAAGATAAAACCCTTCATACGGTCTTTAAAGTAGCGTACATATAGTAACAAAATATTTGTCCACATGACTTTTTTTAACTTTATTTTATTTTACAATCTGTTCAGTACAACTGTGAACAATTACTAAAAGGCATAATATAAGTAAATTACTTGACCAAGAATCTCCCCAGTGAAAGATCTTGGAAAAATAAATAGTCATATCATGTAACTAAAACTATGCAAATCGGTATGGGAGTTAAAGAACTTTCACAATTTTTAGTCTGTTGGGAAATTCACTATTGTCCAGCAAGTTAACGGCTGAATTGTTCTGGTGGGTTTCGAGTTTTTCTTGATATTTCTTGCTAATTCTCGTTATTTCTTCAATCACTGTAGGTATTTTTAAATCTTTATGGATTGTTTGATTCGAGACAAACCACGAAGCATCAACTATTCTTCGCAGCGCCTTTGACTGAAATCTTTGAATAATTGCTAAGTTGGATTTGCTATTGATTGAACATAAAAATGTCCACATGACTAAAAATATTCTAGTAAAAGATTATGATAAGCAAATACCACGGGAATAATACACGTATATTAGGGCCTAATACATGATTTACTAATCCTTTTTTTAGAACATTTAACGAGCGTAAAACTTACATCATAACAACGTAAAAAGACATGACACCAAAACGGCGAATATCCACTGGACATTTGTATTTGATAAATTCGTTTGTATACCTGTTGTTCTCAAACCAAACTGTCTTTAAGATAATAAATAACAAACCAAACATACTTTTAAACAACCAGATCTCGTTTTTGAAAGTAAGGCTCCTTTTTTTGTAAAACCTTTTGTACCAACAAGATCTGTCCCTGAAACAACTGTACTTTCTATTGTTACCTCCCTTCCACAAGAACATACACAAAACAAATAAATATCCTATCTGCAAACTCTCCGTACTTTCTCCAACCCCTAAATCGCTACTGTGGGAAGACACATCTTGTTATGTGGGCGGCGCCGGCGCGAGGAACAATGTTTTTATGTGGACAAATCACCCAAGCTGGGTGGGCCTCTCACGCGATCACTGTTTGCCCAAAAGAACTGCAATAACTTAAATTCAATCAACCGACGGAAACGGCCAAAGGACAAACAAGCCTAGCAGTAAATAACCCATCCTTGTCACCACCACTCATTACCCCAACTTATGTTTCCTCTTAGAGGTAGGTTAGTAAACGTGAGCTAAACCAAGTGGCGAAAAACCCCCTTGGAGATACCGTAGTTTTTCAATTTTTTGATGGGAAGTGTAGTACAGTGGAGTTTGCTAACAAGACCCTCAATAACAAACCACCCTTGATAACTTGATAACAAGTGTCATTTTCAAATTATCTTGAACTTATTGAGCCCTAATCACATGTTATTGCAAACCTCGATAAGAAGTTAATCTTAATAACAAGTACTATTCAATAATCCTCATGAGAGTCTTGTTATCGAGGTTCCACTGTATTTTAAACAAAACAACAGCCATTTCATTTCATTTCAAAACAACGGCCATGAGTGACCAAATCTTTCGTTCTTTGACTGTACAAAGATGTCAGAGAAAACTTTAAAACGTGTGTGTTTAACAATGTTCAAATCCTGGAAAGATCGAGTATTTTTTTAATCGTTTCAAAAGTATTACTACTTAAACGTAAGGCTGAGTAAAAAAATGCATATCGATTTTAAAAGCGAATGTTTATTTGTACAGTGATTTACATTTATGATACAAACTATGTAACAAAAGTATAATGTACAACAAAGAGAACTGTAGCCTATACGATTTATTTCCTGGCAAATAAATCACTAGACTTATCAATATGTTCAATTTGTATAGAATGGGTTAACAAAATTAGAACCCATGACTATGGAGATCTTCCCCGAAGTGATGTTTATGTTCCTCCTGGTGACCTTCAAAATTATGTCCTCCGAAGTGATGTCCCAAATGCTCATGATGCTCGTGGACATGGACTGGGATATGAACCGGAACCTTGACTGGATACGGCACCTCCTTCTCCACCGGGTAGGGAACCTTCTTCTCTACGTAGACGGGGTAAGGCTTCTCCACAGGGTAGGGGACTGGCTTCTCGACTGGCACCTTGACGGGATAAGGAACTTTCTTCTCGACGGGGTAAGGCACGTGTTTGACAACAGGAACGTGATAGGGGACAGGCCGGGGGACATGCACCTTGACCGGGTAAGGGATGTGTTTCTCTACAGGGTAGGGCACCTTCTTCTCCACGTAGACGGGGTAAGGCTTCTCCACAGGATAGGGGACTGGCTTTTCAACTGGCACCTTGACGGGGTAAGGAATCTTCTTCTCGACTGGGTATGGCTTAGGGATGTACTCCTTGACCGGGTAAGGCACTTTCTTCTCCACAGTCACAGGGTAAGGTTTCTCCACAGGGTAGGGGACCGGCCTCTCGACGTGCACCTTGACAGGGTAAGGTACCTTCTTCTCCACGTGGACCGGGTATGGCACCTTCACCTCCTTCTCTATCGTGATGGTCTTCACCTCGTGGTGGTGATGGTCGCTGAAGTCATGGCCCCCAAAGTCATGGCCCCCGAAGTCATGGCCCCCAAAGTCATGTCCCCCAAAACCATGACCTCCAAAACCATGACCACCCAAGTCTCCAACACTGAACTCGTGTCCACCGAAGTCTTCTATTCCTCTCTTGTCATGTTTCTTCTCTTCTTTCTTGTCTTCTATCTTCTTCTCCTCGGCGAAGACAGCAGTCACCAACAACAAGACTAGAAGACGCTTCATCTCCGCTGATGTCTACAGACGAGTGTGTCTGGTATCTAGAGTCTGGTGGGTTTTATACAGTTTCAGTCACATAACTCTGTATGTTGGTCAATGCAATGCAGGCGCTTCCTGATCCCATACCGGTGTAATCCATCGCCACGCCTCGTTGCTTTGAATGATAGTCGTGTTACATATACTAGTTTGTGGGTTAATCTCCTTAAAAAAATCTCTTTGATTCGTCTCTTTGATAAATGAACGATTTGCAAATAAAACAACGATTTCAAAAACCGTTTCAAAGTGTGTATTTTATTCACCTACAGCAAGAATACACTCTTTGGAACGATCTTTACCGTCCTTTATGTTAGAGTGGAAGAATAGACATTACAACTTAAAGGGAGCCATTTTCAAAGAAGGAGCGGCTTTATCGGTAGTAACGCACTGTTGATGGCCGTCGTCGCCACGGGTCCTGTCATCAGTTGACCACCGCCTGGGGTCTTGGGTCCTCATCACCCGCGGGGACGTTTTATAGTGTAGTTTAGGAACTAGAACAGGGAAGTTTATGATAAATATCGTTAGTTAAGTGGGTTTAATTGCTTTACTTTACAACATATTTTCGATTTTAATTGTTGGTGTTTTTTGTTGTTACGGATCGGTGTGACAATAATAAAAGGTTAAATCACCTGTGTCAACCGGTCAATCTTGTTTTATCCTTTCGGCGAAATCATATCGCCATCTACAATCCTAATATAAATTCTTGAACATCCCCATTACAGGTGCCTCATGACGTTTTTGAGACATACACAAACGTTACACTTACAAATCGACAATTAAAACACATAAATGCGCGGTAGACCTACTTTAATTTTTGACTAGAGACATGTAGACGCGCGTCGGTCGTGTGTCAAGTCTCAATCTGAACAGTGTTTCAATCTATTGAATTCATTAAAACAGGGGGATTTTAAAATGGTAATATAAAATGTTTACTTCAGGGTAAACATTTTTCAAAGCTTAAAACGGCCCCTTTGAATCAATATTTTTTAAAGAGTTTTGAATCAGAAAATTTTGTAGATATTAAAATTTAAGGGTTAAAAATATAACAGGATGGCTGTAAAAAAACTACAAAGTTTAATCAATGACAAACCATGAAAAATATTAGAAAATACATGTAGTTTTTGTATTGTGCAACAGGGTAAAACTATTTTAATTGCAGATAGTGAACCCGTAAAATAGAAAATGCTCTTATTTTTATCTCCTTAAAATTTTACATAGGCGTCCTTTGTATTTTTTATCATTAGGTAAGTTGGTCATGGCTATAAATCATTCGAACAAGTTAAGTAGAGACCTTTTGTAAAACTTAAGATCCACAGAAAAAACTTAAAGTGTAAAAACTGTGCTGTGGTCAGAACGAATCAAAGCAATGTAAAAAATACAGTTCCTACTAATTACGATAAATCTGTCACATAGTATTTGGTGTAATAATCCAAAATTATATTCAGTAATAGTTTTGATACTCACGCAGCAGACGGCTCGCAAACGGTAAAAAAACCTTTTTCGCCGGGAGGGTTCAAGCAATTCTACAAGATTGCACCCCTTCTAATCCGCCATTTCGCGACACGCTTTAATGATTTTCGGCGACAATCTTCTCCGTGTGTGGCGGAGCTCAAATAGATTTGTCCGATTATAAAAGCAAAAGTAAAAACCCGGTTTCCCACAACTGCAGGCTATTGTGCGAGAACCGCGCCGCCTGATTGATCGAGATGATATTGATCATTTGATCAAATCTCGCTACGCTTTGATTCGATGGGCGGATCATTAGAAAAACAGATCGATCCAGATCTATAGACCCAAAATGGTTTTTAATTGGATTAATATTGTTAATAGCCCAAGAGTTGAGGTTTAGAAATATGAAATGGGAATTCGTCACAGTGTTATAAATCTAAATGCATCAGGTGGATTGGAGTTTGTATTTTAAACGTGGGCGTCTTGAAATCTATTCATAGTAAACTCAGTAGATTGACACATTGTTTAGTTCTTGTTCAACGTGATCAGTTGGTAAATATACATTGATGCAAAATGAAAAATGTGTTTCAGGAGTATTGCACAATTTTATTATTACAAAATCTGAAAGTCACTAGTTTGACTTCAAGCCAATTCTGGACCAGATGTAATTTGTCATTGGGCTACCAATTGATGATGCTCTGTAACCAGGGTTTGGACCATTCCCTAGGAAAAATCGTAAAAATGCCAATGTGAACTTAAAGCACATATGAAAATGATAAAAGTATAGCTATTGTTTTAATCTTAAGAATGTTTGGTTCAACTATTACCTCTGTATGTTTTTACAAGTTTAGAGAACATTTAGAACCACGTGTTTGGTGAAACACCAGCTCCTGTGGGGGCTCAGGCCTCTTCAGGTGATAAGTGACGGGCATCTCTTGAGATTTTGGAATCACTTCCGCTGATCGAAATGAGCCAATCAAAGCTGCGAACAATTCCCGGACCTCCCCAGTTCGAGTTTTGACCAATTTAAAAACAATTATTGGACAAAACTGTGGAAATTTGAGGCATTCACTTGGACCACCTCACGATCTTGAGTTTTGGCTATTTGGGGCTCCTAATGTCAAAAGAATGAAAGCCAACTCAGGACGTAATATTGGGCATAAATCATAGAAACTGAAGATGTTTATGTCATGTGCATACATAATAATTATATTTGCTTATATCAACAGGTATACATTGAAACCACTGCAGTAGATAAATCCAGAATACAAATTTTACACCTATGATCTTAACAACATACTAAAAGACAATGGACAAAAATAATACAATTGAGTTTATTTAGTCAGCTCACATCAGTGTGACAGAGTGAGGGAGGTAGATTACACGATTCCGGGCCCAACAATACAACAATACAAATTTATAAACGTAAACATTCACTTTAAAAAACGGTGCTTTTATCTTCCTTATATTTGTCGTTTTGTGTAACAGTTTAATTCTTTTCTCCTCTTATTTTGTTTTATGTGTATGTGTGAAACTTTGAACTGTGAAAACTGTTTGAAGAAGCTATCATTCATCAGAAGAGACACGGCCATATTTACACATACTCTCATGCAGTTTTTGGTTATGTTTACTTTTTATAGCCTAAGAAAGCCGAAACGAGTCTTCCTCCAAGCTCCAATCCAAGAACTGCATTTTTGTGGCAATATAATTAACTCAATTGGTGTTAAAAACCAAAATTCCATAACAATTCTGTGACCAAAATTTAATCTCAATATCCCCCTCATACAGTCTACTTTATTTTTAGAAAAGCATTCTTAGGCTTACGCAACACGAGCTTTAGTTGGCTTTTACATTTTACCCCGCTTACCATAGTCTTTTGTACTATGAAGTAATTTATGTAACACTTGTAATCGCGTGAAATTGTTTATCTTGAATCTAAGGATTAATGTGAATCGTTTCTGGAAGAAGAGTTTAACTAAATGAATGACACAGAGGTAGAAAAAAACATCTTTACTCGTGCGACGAACACTATTTTCACACTGCACCATTCTTAAGAAAATTTGACTTACAAAACAACACTTTCATCCATAGTTTACGATAAATTGCTACCAGCTAAACTGGCGCTCTGCAGATGCTCTAGTGATGAGCTATACTATTATCAATCTAGACAATTTTCTTCAGAAATCCAAACATATTACACCTATTCTAGATGGTTTTTTTACCTTTGATAACAACAACTAGGTACTTCAAAATGCGGTTCAACTTAAGTATTGAAAACAGCTTTAAGCTGCAGTATGACGAAAAAAATTATAAAAAAAAATCATACCAACTTAGATCAGATCATGAATAAAGCTTGGCTTATAAAGAAGCCGCCAACGATAAAAAATACAAAAACCAATATATGTTGAGTGTTATTGGTTGCATTCATTCAAACGCATGAGAAAAGGCTTATGGGCGGACAAGCAGTGCGAGTTTGATAAATTCTCTTACCGATCGAACTATCGATTACCACAGATGAGTTGGGTTTTTATTAACTTTGGGAGAAATTGAATTTTGCAAGTCAGTAAAGGAACACCCTTTATGCAGGATGGAAGTTTTAATAACAGGGTGGGGTAGGCTCCGATTTGTCAGTACGGGCTTGTACCATCCCTTGCGTCTGAGAGATGCCGCCCTTATAATTACTGAACAGATCAACGCTAATTCAGTAGCCACCTTGACCAAAGTTATTGATAAGTTTCACGGTTTGATGTTTGATTGGTGTAAGGATAGAGCTGAGATGTAAGCTCTCAGTAAGTGTAGCTATAGTCTGTATGGTGGAACATGTCTCCTGACCCTCCGTCTACCTGCGGACTGGTTAGTGGAGGTCCAGGTCAGTCCCAGGTAGACGGAGGGCCAAGAGACAAGTCCCATCATACGGACTATAGCTGTATTTGTGTCACTGGTGGGAAAATAATTCAATTTGAATACTAAGCGTGGATATCAATATGGGAAAGCTGTAACCATTTTTTATTATAACAGAACATAATGGAAAGATCTTTGTGTAAGGGAGTCTACTATTGTTAAAATGTCGTTTTCTCCTTTGATTCTGTAACAATGATAGTTGATATAGTTTACAAATAGTTTGTCTTTTCAGTTTAACTTGTTGAGACGTTGAAGAAGCTGAAAACTCCGTAGTCGACATCAGCGCTTTTTGAGGCACAACTCAACCACGTAAATTTGTATTCTAAAATTGGATACAGCTTTAACTTTGGAATATAAGGTCTACTCATATAAATATTCGAAGGTACTTACGCAATGGCGAGTACCAAACTTTATACTCAGTATGATGGAACCTGTCTCCTGACCCTACTTGGGGACTGGTTAATAGTTTAAGGCCCGGACCAGCCATAGGCAGACGTAGGGTCAGGAGACACCTTCCTGCATACAGACTATAGTATAATCCAAGATTATCAGCAAAACTGGGTCTTTTCAGTATCAGCAAGCTAATGTAGAAGACAAAAAAATACTCTTCAAAACGTTTG